AAAATATGAGGCTATTAGAGGCCTTAAGTCCGCCGTTCATACGTGCAAGCTGCGCTTTTTCACACACATACTCCAGCCTTAAGCATTCCCCGCTAAACACGTTCCATGCCAGGACAAGAGCATCATCATTATTATTATCCAACAGCTCATGAGTGCGGCCATTAGGGGGAATGGAGCAGCAGCAGCTGTAACTGAAAGCGAAAGGCGTTCGAGTCCCAGTGTCCTGGGGTAGATGCTACTCCTGCTGCTACTGCTCCTTCTCCCGTTTCCGTCTCAAGTGACTATTCACAGTTGAAGATTTATTGAATGTGCGCGATGCTGCCAGTCTGCCTTTCCCTGAACGCCTCTGCCACGGTTTCTCTGCTCCTCTGGTGTCTGCCACTGAAAGTTGGCTCTGTCTGCTCTTTGGCATTGGTATTGAGTGTTTATTTATTTTCAAGCATCATAAAAAATACACAGGCAGAGGCACACAGAGCCAGACAGAGAAGCATGGACCTCAAAGAAGGCTTCTGATGCAAAGAGGTTCTTATTTTTGATTTCGCCTAAAAGTATGCTCCAAAAATTATAAATGTTAAATAGTTTAAATTAAAATACTTCTGCTATATTCTGAAATTTCTTTTTCTACTCTCTATTTCTGCTATTAGTTTATATAAATTTGAGATTTTGATAAACAGAATAACCTTTTCTGTAGACAGGAGGCGAGGACATTCAATAATTTTGTTCGCATTCGAGTGGCAGAAACAGCTGCAATTTTTACGCCATTTTATGCTGCCAAACCAAAGTGTAATTTGTGGCCTGGGAACTTTGTCTATTGCCTCTTTGTGGAGGGTCCTTTGCCCACATCCCCACACCCCCCTTGCGATGTTGTTTTTGTCGCTGTTAAATGAAGCATTCGCTGCTGGAGTTGAAGATGTTTGCAATTTTTATTTCATTTGCCGGTCAATGAACATGGGAAATGTGTTAAGTGCCGCCTCCCCCCTCACACCCCAATGCCAACGACTTGTCTTTAATTGTCTACAAGTTGTCGGAATGGCTTTTAATGAAGTGTTAAACGATACTCCCAGCTTGGCTTGTGACCTCCTGTTGAGAGACAGAGTCGTCGTGGCTGCTCCTGGCTTATTATTTGGCACGACCTGAAATATTAATTTCAGTTTGGCCAACAGCTGACACTTTCCCAGCTCGCATTGAATAATTCCTTGGCAATACTTTGAGTGTTGACAGGGCTAATTACCATTGATGATTCTCTGGGTGAATTGAGCAAAACGGAAACTTAAGCCGCTTAAAGTGTGCACGGTATTGGACTTGGAAATTGCTAATTTATGGATAAGATTGATGGCTAATTGTAGGGAATTTGTGACTTTGATGTATGGAAACTTATAAACAGTTGGTTGGTTATGATGTTGAAATTAATATTGCAACTTTGATGTAATAGTATCTTTCTCAATTGATGTTTTATTGGCAAAATATATGATTGCTTATTAAAACATTTCTAAAGCTTTTCAAGAACTTGGCCATATGGTGCACAGTCTAAACCGCCCTAAGATGGCCTACAAAAACTGTCAACTCAGCTGAGTGCATTTCGAAATTGAGCCACTCCCTGTTCTTGACTATCTTTCTTTGCCTTGGATGAGTTCTTTCTGAGTCGTCTGACACATAATATGGACAATCACTAACCACGCAAGTGTCAAGCAAACAAAACGAGCCCAAGGCCAGCTTCCACCTCAAACTAAGCCATGCACCACCCCCTTTTGCCACCCAATTTAACCCACCACCCACCAATCTGCAAGGGGTTCCGAAAAATTTGCAAGCAAATCCTATTTTCGTATAAGAGGAGCGGCGTACTCAAACGGGCGGAGACAAACCAGTCAAAAAAAAAGGGTGGGAGGAAGACGAACGAACCACATCTGAGTGCTGCGGGCCTTTCGATGATTCTGTGCTACCGCTTTTCCTTTTTTTTTTTGTGGGTCGGATAGCAGTGCACACACATCACATCAATCTCGTTCCAACTTTGCCCAGATACGAATCTTTCATTTTCGTATTTCCGTTCAAAATTTCGTGTAACTGAACTGGAACTTTAGAGAAAAAAGAAAGGAGAGGGCACAAAAAGGAATGTTACCACCACCAGACAGATAGAGAGGGTGGCCCATGGAGCTGGAGTGGATGCTCTATGGTGCCGGATGGTGAAGTCAGCAAAAGACTAGTATGTGGACGGAGAGAGTTGGAGCTGGAGATCGACTGTCTCAATTACCTCTACACTGAGTTCAGCCAAAAGAATCTGGTTCGTTTCTGTTGATCAAAAAAGGCGCGTTTTCAACTTATTAAACCTTTTTAAGTAATCAACTTACCGTTAATTAATATCTAATATCTAATTACTAATATCTAAGTCCTTCAAGTTCTTCTATCTCTTATAAACCCATATACCCAATTCAACTTACTTACAGGGTATGCAAAGTGGGCATCATTCACATCGTCTGATTGCCCTGGTATCAAATTTAAATTTCTTCATTTGCCTTTCGGTCCGTGTGCAAGTTCAAGTTTTTTGTCTGTTCTTCGTCTGACTCCTGTTTTCCCCTTCGAGGGGAAAATTCAGGTCATGTGCGACCAAAAGTAAGTGGATGCGTTCTTATCAGAGCATACAAATGTTTTATCTCGTTCGGCGCGTGTGCAAGCTGAAAATGCACTTGGAGAAAGAACTTTAAGAATGTATTTAAGTAACTTAAACTAGAAATATAACTTAAGCAATGAATATATCTTCCTTATTATGTTTACTAGAAAGAGAAACCCAAAAACCTTTCAATTTTGTGTTTCTTTCTTTTTGTCATCCTTTTAGTTAGTTTATACGTAAGAAAGAATCCAAAATTTATCAATAACTATACATTATAATAATGTAGTGGGCTGATTATATGGTCGCCCTAAATATCGATATAATTCTGATAACCGATGAATCGAGGCTAAGCTAAAATAAGATCATTGATTTTTAAGCATTTTTGGATTGAAAAAAATGCAAATTTATTCAAAAAATATCTTTAGTTTTATGATATAAAATCCCCTTAAAATAGAAACCAAAATGTATCTCTGTGTAAGAACGAAAGCTTGAAAGTCGCCTGCGGTTGCGCTCTGCTTCTGTCTGTGTGTGTGAGAGTCAGTGTTTTGTTTTGCCAATTGTCGGATGTGCCAGTGGGCGGGGCACTGCCAGCCAACACCAACACCAGAACACACACATGCCCAGCCAGTTAGACACTTTCTTTTTGCTACTTGAGCTTCCGCTTCCGTTGCCACACACCGCCTGACCCGCCCCCTCAGTCCGTCTGCCTCACTTACTTATGCATGGCATATAACCTTAAACATAATTTTGTTTGCCTTTTGTGCTCTGTTGTGTCCTCGTGCAATTCTATTTGCCATTGCTCGCCGAACCCATTTTCTTATCTTTGTTTGCCTCTTGTCTTTTTTTTTTTGCTTTTCTATCAAGCGCTAAATTTTAGCTCTTTGACTCGTGCCGAGGGTTTTTTCGGGGAAAGTCCCTTAAAGCTCGATCGAAAAGTATGCTTTAATTTTTTGGATTCTCGCTTTTGGCGCCATTTAACCCATTGTTGGCCAACAATTCAAGTGTCAAAGTTTGCACTTGAAATTATAATGGTCAGGCCCCAAAGCTCATTGGCCTGCTAGCCATAACAAAGGAATGTTGGTTAGAATTCAACCCAAAACCAACCGCCGCACACATCGCTCCATCCTGCCATCACCACCACCCAAAGTTGAACCCCGGGGGTCAAACATTCGCACAATGTCAGTCCAGTCCAGAATTTTGTGAGGCATAAAAACACAAAAAAAAAAAAGAAAAAAGAGAAAACAACAATTTTGAATGAAATGCATGCCCCATTGACATATGAGTGGGCGTGGCACTCTGTTATGGGCGGTGGCTCAGTTGGATTGCTGAGGAAATGGCAAATGCATGCAGCCACACGATATGAGCTATGCCCATTCCTGCTCTCAATCCTCCAGCGTTTCATTCACCCACAACAGCTCCCTACCCTCTGAATCCGTCTCTCTGTGCGCGTTGATTGTTCGATTCAAACATTTTGGCATGTTTCGGCCAGCTGAACTAGTTTTCAGTTTAACACCCAAAACCCCACCCAGCTGGTTACAGTGGGAGTGGAAGTTAAAAAATGTGATTTAAAGTTAAAGAGATACTTAAAATACTCAAAAAGGACTAATTAATCCATATTATTTCATATATGTAGTTCGTTTACTACATGGTCCCCTTAAGTATCGATATAATTCCGATAGCCGATGAACCTAGGTTAAGCTTAGATAATGGATGGCTAAGCATGATTTCGACTGGATTAGGTCTTGGTTGAGAAGATCAGTAAACGAGAGGTTTCGAGTATACCTACAAATAGACTTTTTACATATTTTATAGATTTTCATATATGACGTCTGAACTCACCTTGGGTTTTATGCAATTTTTCAGGAAAATTAGAGAATTTTCCTATAATTTTAGGTGCTAGTCAAAACTACAACATCAGGAAATCATCTTAGTAAAGAAAATGTATCTTACTTTTCCGTTATCTGTATACTTTCTTGATATTTTTTATTTCCAATATTCATAAAAATGTAATCCTTTTAGCTAGCTCCACTGTACAGTTGTCGCCCGGCTGAGGCCGAAATGTGTTAAATCCGCTATAAAAGCGGTTAACCGAGTAAACTGCAAATGCAAAATGCGGTTGGTTCACTTCGGTTCGGTGGGGTTGGGGTTATATCCCGGCTCCTATTCCTATTCCTATTCCTGGTCTGGGGCAACTCCCTGGTTCTGCTTCTGCCTCCTGACCATATTAAAGGCCATGGCAAAGTGTTGATGGGTCAGTTTCGACCACATACATAGAGTGTTGTTGTTGTATTGGCCATTCAGAAAGTATTTTTGAACATTTCATGGCATTTTGTTTTTGCTAGAGGTTAAAGCTGCGATTAGTAGGCAATGGAAATATTCTCTCAGTGTTTATAAGCCGACCTATAAAGCCCACACAGAAGGCACACGTAAGGAATACTAGTGAAAAATTCCAATAAAAGATTGTTTTTTGAATCGAGATGGCTTCAGAAGATCAAGAAGAGGTCAGGGCAATGGATTATTTCCCAAAAATTCTCAATTAATACTGACTTTTAGGTATACACTGAGGACGAGACCAACGAGGCCATGTTCTTTATCCGGGAGCACGAGCTGCCCATGTCGGAGCTACGCTATGCACTCAAGTATGTCCGCATACTACATGGAAACTATAATGAAAGTGTAGGAGTGGAACCTCAGAATCCAGTGGATATGGTGGAACCACCGGCTTTCGACTGGGAGGACAAGGAGAATGCACCGGTACCACGGCTATAAAGGTTTTAACTTGTTTTTAATGTTTGCTTTTAATTTGTGTTAAATGCCTGAAGAGAAAGGGACTTTAATGAGTAAAATCCCAAAAAGGCATTGGAATGGTATTTATTTTTAATATTTTTGAGATATAAAAATAAATTTATAGAGAAGCAATAGCTAATAATTCAGTCTGTCATCTACATCTTAAGTCGAATCAAAATACTTTTAATAATAAATAGTCTCTCAGCTAAAGTGATTCCTTGGAAAAGTCTGCTCTGCCAGGATTTTGTTTGTCAAGTTTTCTTTGTTTTTCCGCGTCCATTTCGAGATCTTTGCATTCAACACTTCAGAGTTGCGCTGCATTCGCATGGTGTTGGAGTTGGAGTTGGACAATTTTTAATTGTCAAACGCAGTCGGGTGACAAATGAAGGCATGAAGGAGTTGCGAGTTGAGAGTTGCACCGGAGAAGTCTTAATGACAGCTGATAATTTATTCAGCAAGTGCAACAGCTGAGCGACGTTCACGAATTGTTTTTCAGAGGCAATGAAATATTTAAACGAAAGCAAGGCAAGGAGCAGAAGCAGTACCGCGTCCAGTCCCTGACACTCCTGTGATGAAATACATCCGCTTGTCGTTGTCGGGATGACCGAGTGTCCAGAGATCTGCTGTAAAATGCAAATGAATTCCCGGCAATTTTCCACCCTCGCCGAGAGAGAGAGAGACTTGCATTTAATTAGGAATTAATGCCAGTCGGGTTGTCGGATTGTTTGGCGGGGTGAGTTTCGGCAATTCCGGCACTCTGCGGTTAAGTGAAAGTTGAGCTTTTGGCTTAAGCCGCCTAAGCCGCGACTAAGTTTAATGTCCCGACGCGAAACGCTCAATTTGCATTTTGCATTCTCTGAGTGGGTGGATGGTTGCTCTCTCTCTCCATCCTAACAGAGTTTTCCGCATTTGCAACCCTCCACGACGCCAACCAGTGAAAAATTTATTGTTTCAAACGGATTTCGCTGTGCCCCACAAATTCGATTACTGGTAATTGCCTATTGCCAACCTCCGTTCTGTTAGAGAGGGCATGGCACAAAGAGCGGGCTTAATTGAATTAAAAGGCGTTGCAAAGCTCAAAAGCAGCGGGCGCCGTGTTCATTGATGAAGCTTTTTAAGCCGTAAACTGATTAATCGCCGGGATTCTGGAATTATGGGATGAGTCGGTTTGGGGAATGTTGATTAAAGGGAATAAATGTGATTGTGCTTGTATTTAAAAGAGAAGATAATACTGGTTAAGCAGAGATAGCTTTTTGTATGTGTTTAAACTTCTTTTTAAGAATTATAAATTATATATTTAGTGGGCTTTAATTGGTAATATTGCATAAAGTATCATTAACGTTTAAACTGTTTGTTTTTTAAGTTTTTTCAGGGAGTAAACTTGTTATTTTCCATTTAATATGAGGGATTACTTAAAATCTTTGGTAAAAGTGGAGATATTTAGCAATATTAGCACTATTAGCCAGCTGTTATTAGTAGTGGCTAATAAATCCCTTTATTAACTCAAAAAACCCGATAACATCTCTCGTATGAAGTTCAAATTACGGGCTATTGTGCAAGGACCGCAGACATGTAAAAACACAAAACACTCAACGCTCATTTAGGCCTTAAAAGAAGAAGCCTTCCCCCTATTTCGGGGGGACAGGGACATAAACGCCCATTGTGATGGGTTTATTATTGGGTAAATAAATTAAAATTGTTTACCTTTCAGCGGCGCCAGTACGCAGAAGAGGGACAGCCATGCATGGCTATCTCTTTCAGTGTTTATTTGTTGTTTCTCTGTTAGCCCGACGTGTGCTGTTGCTGCTTTTTTTTCTCGTTTTATTTATTATTTTTTCGCAGTTCAATTGCGGTTACGTGAGTACGCGTATGTTGCGGCAACTTTATTTGCGCAAATTAATGGATAAATGTTCACGCACATGATAATGGGCGGGGTGGAGGTGAGAGGAGAGAGGAGAAGGACGACACATGGATGGCCATCGACATATGAAAATAAATAGAATTATGGGAAATTTATATCAACCAATGAAAAATAACGTGTGGAAATTTCCCTTTGAATCATTTTCGCCAGCTAAAATCGCACGTTATCTAAATATTTTGTTAAAATTAGTTTGCAAAAATAGCGAAAGCAATTAGAGAGGAGTTTTGCATTTTCATTTATCTGCCACTAAGCTCTATCATCCGTTTTCTATTTATAAACCAGTCAGGAAAAAAGAGTATATACTATACATATCGGAAGTGATAGCAAACAGTTGCGTAAACTATGCCAACTTTGGATATGCAAGTGGGCAAACTCTGAAACTGGGATACGTCTAGAGAGACCACTCCTCCTTGCTCCCCCTGACCACCACCACCTCCATCTCGGGTCCAATCAAACAGTGAACTTTTTCAAGTTCTTTGCACTTTTTCCCCTCTATTGATTTTGCTTTCAAATCAAGTTTTTCGTTGAATGGCCCAGAGTGAGCTTTGATTGAAATAGTTTAGTTTGTTTTGATAGTCATGCATACGAAAATAAATATTTTGAGGCTTCTCAAAAGCTAACACCTAAGGAGAATAAAAGTTGGAGCTAGCGAGAATGAGCATCTGTCTTAGGCTTTGGCTTAAGCAATTAAATTCTCTCTTGAAAAGTATGTTAGAATGTCAAAGTATTATGCATTTATAGTGATTGCCAAGCAAATTCAGTGAAAACTTTTCCTAAACGAGCCACACCTTTGCGCTTAAGTATCCTTATCCCATTTCCATTGCCTGACTCTCAACTATCCAATTTCAACCAAAGTTTTCTTTTATTCAACTAAACTTTAGCGACACCAAACTAGCGGTCTAACAGTGATGGTTTTGCAGAAATATCAAACTAGAAGAAAAACCTTTCTAAATATCTAAAAAAGAAATCATAAACTTAAGTGCTAAGAGTACTTTTATAACCGATAAAAATCATTTATATTTATTGATATTTAAGTTGAGGAATTCATTGTACCTAAGTGAGGTAAAACTCAAGCGAATCTAAGTACCATAACATTTGGCATCTCTGCAGTCCAAGTGCCATAAATGTCAATAGACCAGAAACCATTATGCATAATAATACCCCTACTCGAAGTCGTTGGAGCGCTGCAGCTGCTCGAAAGCCAAGGGGAGTCGTCGAGGTTCCCCTGCTTGGAATCCCTTTGCCCTCATCCTCTCTCTCTCTCTCTCTCTGGCCTTTGTCCGATGTCAGCATTGTCTGTTCCTGTTCCTCGACTTCTGTTCGCATGCTAAACAATATTTCTCCATTACGAAACAATGGGACGAGTCGCCTGTTCCCGACAAGTAGCACCTTTTACTTGTGGCATCAGTTAAAAGTTTTGCTTTTTATGTTAGCGCGTTGCAGTGGCAAGTTTCCCTTCTTTAGCTGCCTTTCCGTTGCCTTTCCGCGCATCCCGGGATCCTAGCTTGCAACTATCTCAAGTCGTTGCGGCAACTTTTGTTGCCTACTTTTGTGGGTCCTCCTTTCTCTTCACGTGGCAAGTTTTTGCTTTCGCTTATTGTCCGGCGTGGAAAAAAGTTTGGTTTTGTTGCCAAATTGAATGCGACTTGCGTTTGCTTTACCACCGTCGCTGCGTGTCCTTGTGTCCAACGTCGTGCTGACGTCCTGCTAAAAGTCCTTGAAGGTGCAAATTGTAAAACAAACAGAGAAACGAGACCTTCCCAAACAGCCTGGTCTAGAGTTGGGGGCAGCGCAGTTGATAGCTAAAGTGTTGCAAGCGGATCTGGGTCTTTAAGAAGTAAAGGAGTTTTGGTTTGGGAAGATTATAGATAATTTATTGATGTTAATTAACTTAGATTAATAGGTATTCTTAAACAGCTAATCAATCAACCAAGAATTTTATACGGAATGATTATCTGTTGCGGTTTTTAGCATGGTGTTTTCTATATTTTGTAAAGATTTTCAATGACCTTAGTAAAATGACTTTGGTAAATGGCAAAAGGTACTCTAATCTTTGCCTTACTTAAGTTTGTTACAGCGTTACACTGACTTACAAGGCTTATCTAATACTTTAATAAACCATAACTAATGAATTATTTTATGGTATTAAATATTATCCATCACCTCATTAGCTTCCTGTAAATATTACCTTCTGTCACTTTTTGTTACCTTTTTCTTTTATGTCTTTTATTCTCACAACCGCTGTTTCTCGAAAGTCAAAAACCAAGTCTCTTTTCAATTCTTGTTCATCCCTCTATTCGCTTGTCCGTTATGAATGTATATACAAAACGATCTTTTAAAGCTCACTTACATGATAGAAAGAGATAACAGTATATATGGATAATATTTACAGTTATGTTGTTTCTTAATTTATCTTACAGTGGGTGTTATACCTATACGTTATGTTAAAAATTGTACAGTGGGCCTTTATAGTACTACTCTTACTACTCTTTCGTCCATAAAATTCTTTTAATTAATTATTTTATATTAACTAGTTTTACTTCTTATTCTAAAATGACAAAAAAATGCATTAAAAAATGTCCAACAAATAAGAAAACATAATATTTATTATTCAATATCTCCCTTACTTCGATTACGCAATCCAATTACTTCAAAATGACAGCCCGCCCAGGCCAACCCGATCAATCAGTGGAGGACAAAACCGTTTCGATCATTTTGGTTTTAAGTTTTCAAAGCATTTTAGTTGCCAATTACTCTGGTCGAACCGTATAAATCGCAGTCATTACATTTAACGGCTTAATTCCGACATAGCCATAAACCAACAATAATGGCCAAAAGCACACAGAGACAGCCAAACATCCTGACATAGGACCAACATATATGACAACCACTAGAATCGTTTGGCAACTAAAAAGCTGTGGCCGAGTCCATTGCACTATCATGGAATATTTATTCAATTTAAATTTACCAATTAACTTGGACTGGGCACTGGCCCTGAGTTGGAACCAAAAAAAAAAAACACTAACAAATACCCCTAAATGCTGACAACGTTTAGAGCGGAGTTCCCCGGATCCTGCCCTGCCTGCCCTGTCGTTGCTTCTGAATAATAAATGCATAATTCCTAGATGGAAAAGCGCGTGCCATAAATATT